ATATATTGACTTCTAGGAAGTAGTGCTGAAATTAGCCCTTTGTCTGTGATATTTTAGATTTATGCTTGTAACTTATTCCTCTATTTTATACTTTTGTTTTTCCTTTTCTGGATTTAGATAGGAAGAGTAAGGGGGAAATTCAAAAATAGCCAGATTTACGAGTGGTCGTTCAAAAATAGCTCAGCTTCAAAAGTAATCAAAATTTAGTCACTTTTCATGTAAAAATAAATCTGAATGAAAATACTATTCAAAATCCGGAATAATACTCCAACATAATATACTGGATCCAGTATAATATACCAGTTCAGCATAATATACTGGAGTTTGGAGCATCGGTTCCCCAGTCTCCAGTATATTTTACTGAAACTAGCAAAGTATACCGGTCTAGCATAATATGCTGGAAGTTCATATACAGGTGCACCGAACTCCAGTATATTATGCTGGACCGGTCTTTGTTGCAGCAAAATAGTGACTATTTTTCATTGATTTGGTAAACACTGGTTATTTTTAAATGACCAGTCCGAAAACTGGCTAGCCCGTGCTATTTTTACGAAGAGTAAAGAAGAGTCAGTCAGTCAGGTGAGGATTAAACTTTGCACCATTTGAATGCAAAGTTGGGTCGTTTTAACCTTCTACTTTTATTTAGACATTAAATTAGTTATACTTTTAAATTATTGTATGTATTCCAATTGGAAGGAGGTAAAATTAAGCATAAACAGAGAGCAGAAATAAAACTCCTGCAAGAAAAGGAAAAATTAGGAAATGTAAAACGGCAGTTTTGATTTGTTTGGGTTTTGGTTTTATTTGATCTATAAGGTCATTGTAGCACTCTCCAAATATATATCCTTGTAAATCAAGGGAAAATGTTTAAATAAGTCACCCAAATAAAGGAAGAAAAGGTTAATCATGATTAGAGTGAACCCAAATAAGTGAAGAAAAAACAATAAAGTTCGCACAAGCAGTTAAAAATAGCCGGTCAGATTCACTATTTACTTTTTCTAGCCAATATATATAGATTATACACAGTTATACATATACTATTATACATGAATTTTACATATGCTATACATCCGCTAGCTATTTTTAGTTTAAGAAATTAGGTGAGCGGTTATTTGGGTTAATACTAGTGTTATTGTTCTTTGTGTATATATGTACAAGTCACTGATTCAAGTCGTGGAATCTGACGCTTGCCCCTATCCCATAAGCCTTTCATCGTTGCAAGCCCCTTCCATCCCCTTTAGAGATAGGGGTGAGTACTACACGAGCTCGTAAGTAAAGTATGGAACGAGCCTTGTCTACGAAGCAGAGCGACCTCATCTTGCTTGTATCAGAATAAACTGGCTACATTATTCATTCCTTTGGACTGCGTCCCTAATTCTCTTACTGTTGACTAGATCTCACAATTAAAGTCACGCTTCATTTTATAAATTATGCACTAGTTACATTAAATTTAAGCGTCTAGACAAAGTCTTCTCAGTCTTTAAGAATACTAGTGTTTGGTTAGGTAACACTACTAGAATTCCGGAAAAAAGCGATCAAACTTTAGCGACCAAAGTTGGTCTGCCGCAAAAAGCGACCAAAGTTGGTCGCCAAACTAGCGAAAATAATAAAATAAATATTTGAAATAAATTGGTCGCTACTTGGTCACTAATTTAGTCAAACTGTTGACTGGACTGGTCACACTTACTTGGTCAAAGGTATACTGAGATTAGCGACCAATATTAGTCAAAGTTATAACTAAAGCATGCACACGATCAGAAATTGATTAATTGGCCTTTAAAAGTGCTTTCTAATTTTGTAGAATAATTAAACTTTAGTCTTACAATTGCAGCGTAGTCGCCATAAAAAACAAGTTCTAAAGAATAATTAGCATGAGAAATAGTTTACCTTTTTCCTAGAATATAAGAATTGGATTTTTGAAAAATCCATATATAAGCTCTAGCATTTTGAACCTAGTGCTATTGAGCTAAGCTAGCCCGAAAACACTATCAATATGGTTTATACTATCTGCTTTTGACCAATCCTTCACGATTTTTTCCAAAATGTCTCATATAAGCGTCATAAATATTATATACAACTTCTTTTAATATGAGATTTTGTTCGAATATCTAACGATCTTCCCACGAAATTAAGTATCACATGATCCATAACCAAAGGTGGTTCCAACCAGTGGCGGATCCACAACGATCTTATGGGTGCTTAAGCACCCATTGTCTTTGGCCAACTTAATAGATTTACATAGATAATTATCAAAAAATTTAAATAAGTATTGAGTGAGCACCCATTATTAAATTTATTTTTCCTCTTCTTTTGATATTTTTATCGGTGAGCACCCATGACTTTGAAATCTTGGATCCGCCACTGGTTCCAACTCGTCGACGAACAAAGGTAGTAAACCTACATGTTTCACTACAACACTGTGTTCGGCTTGTTTTTTAGCTCACACGATTTTCTCCTAAAATTCTCGCACCATTCACGAGTATTCATAACCTTGTATATAACTTCTATATGTTATTATTGGATATGGAACTTTATTCTCACGTCCAACGGATGCTTCATTTTGCTAGATTTCAAACAAATAATTTTATTAATGAAATGACATGTAACAAAATTAAAATGTTTGGTTTAATTTGTTTGCTTTTTCCTAGGAAGCTCTTATGCTAGGAGCTGCCATACCTGCACATGAGAATATTTTCTCTTATCTAATCTACCTTTGTGTTCATTCTCAAGTCATTAAAAAATAAAAATAAAAAATGGGAACATTTTTTCTAATTAGGCTGCAGCCCTTTTTCACTCTAATTTCTTAACTGCTACAGTTTGAACATCTGACCAAGGACACCAACATTTTTTGTTTTTGTCCACTCAAAAGAAACAGAAAATTGCTTTTTTAATTGGTCTATGGATTCTTTTTCATCTTATTGGATTTTTGTGTTGGGAAAAGATGCAACAAAAGGGTCCCAATATAGGTAATTAGGTCAATCTCTTTTTGAACTAGAGTGGAGAACCATGCAATATATGGCCATTTGGCATTTGGAAATACAAAAGCCTATGAGATTATATGCCCTCGTGAGACGTTGTCGACAGTTACGCCATGAATCCTCTACATGAGACTGTCATCATAAGGCAGTGTGAGGCGCAGAGGAGTGATTATATAGCCAAGGCATATGGGTAACTCTAACGGTGCTATTGTCCCCCTTATTTATGCTTTTCCTAATTGTTGTATTTTTCTTTTTTCTTTTATTAATAAAAAACGCGGATTGCCAAAAAAAAAAAATACAAAAGCCTATAGTCTAAGTAAGTGTAGCCTTTTGTGAACATCATTTTTCATATAATTAATTTTGAACATTAAATTATACATCTGGATGTAACTTGTTAGTTAATTTTGAATTAATCAAAATTGGATCGCTCATGTGAGTTGATCCTGATCTAGTTAAGAAAGACTAATAAAGTAAGGTTAAAAATAAGTTAAAGGGATGTAATAACTCATCTGAAAAGAAGTAGTATCAAGTTTGAAATCAGACGAAAAATTGTAATCTGCTGATCTATCTTATATTAAATTAGGGCTGTCAAATTTGGCCCAAGCCCAAATGACCCGCCCAACCCGCCCAACCCGCCCAAGGTTGGGTTGGTTATTGACCCGCCCATTTATTGAACTTAGCTCATCTTGATTCAACTCATCTCAACTCAATTAAAGTTGGGCTAATTTTTAGCCCAAATTAATCCATGAACAAGTTTGTCAAAATATCTTAGAAATAATTTTATTTTTGTTTAATATTTTAAATATGACCATAACAAAAGCAAAAAAGCCTTATTTAGTAATTATACAATTTATAAGAAAATAGCACATATTAATTAAAGTTTAATAAGAGTTGGGCGGGTTAGGTTATGACCCGAATTTTAACTCATCTTGACCCAACCCATCTCAGCCCAAGTAACTTTTGGGCGGGTCATTTGACCTGCCCAATTATTAACTCAACCCATTTTAACCCGCCCAAAATTGACCCAACCCGCCCATTTGACACCCCTATATTAAATAATAGAGCTTTATTTGCTCTTTGAAGAAGAAGTAGTAGTTTGCAAACACTGCTTATATATGCTTTATACAGCAACCCTAAAAGTGGCTTCCTGGTATCATTTTTGTGACATATCACCCATAGAGGAAATTAAAACGAGTGAGATATGAATTTTTGAAATTATGTGATACTTTAACTATTTTTGGAAATAATCACATTCTAAAAAGTTCAATGGAAATTATTTATTTTATATCATGAAAAGAGATTTACATTGTTAGAATCTATTGGTCAAGAGGTTTTCTTTGATATAATTTTTTTAAGTAACGCATAACTAACACCAAAGAAGGTATGAGAGGTTTGCCATGGCGTGTTTGAGGATAGGTACAGACAGGCCAAAAAAGTATGGGTGGAAGTGATAAGGCAGGACATGGCACATCTGCAGCTTACCGAGGACATGACTCTTAATAGAAGGGTGTGAAAGTGGATAATTAGGATAGAGGATTAATAGATAATTGAGTCTATAGCATTAATATTATTCTCGCATTTGCTTGTAAGTAGATTTCTATCACTACTAAGTTTTTTTTTTTTTTTGCTTCGGTTATTTTATTATCTTGTTATTGCTCTTGCATCTTGTACTGCTTTTCCATGGCTTCTTCATTACTGTATCTCTTTTCAACAATGTTGTGACTATGCTTTTCCTAAGCCAAGAATCTATCGGAAACAACCTCCCCACCTTCACAAGATAGGGGTAAGGTTTGCACACACACTACTCTTCCCAGACTCCATTTGTGAAATTTCACTGGCTTCGTTATTGTTGTAATAACGTATAACTAACACGTGAGATGAATTTTCAAAGTTTTGTTGTCATTTCATATTTTCTATCAACTTATACGACATAGATTATAATGAATAAATCCATACTTTGTGCTATTCAGATGCCCTTCTCTAAAAGTTTCTTCGTCCTTTCACAGTTAAAAAGAAAAGAGATGACAAGATCGGTCACTTTTAACTGAAACCTCACAGAAATTAAGGAATCGTTCGGCAGTAATCACAAAAGTGCTTATACAATTACATAAAATGATTCAACTGACTCGTTGCGACGCAGTTCTAGGTACGATTCTTCTGAGGTTGTGATTCATCTAATACAAACAACAACTTATGCAAGGATATTATACATCGCATTTAAGGAATATATTGGAAACAATGATAAGCGATATAATGTCGAATCTTCTCTGGAAAAGTGACAATAGACATGCTTCTGTTGATCTGTTACACCCTTTGAAAGTAAATGCTTGCTCATTTAATTGTCCTGGTCATATCTATAAATCAGTACTTTCCAATAATACCTAGGTTGCCAGATTAGTAAGATGATGTTTGTTCAGAACCAAGTAGAGTGAACTGGCATTCTCTTTGAGAAAATACAATCGAAGTACAAGAGACGGATAAACCATTAAGAAGAACACATCAAGGACTACAAAGTTAACGATGTGACAACTGACCTTACTGTCGGCAATCACACAATTTCAGATGCATCATCTGGAGTTTGAACGTTTCCGGTCTTCAGTATATTTTCCAATGCATTCTGACATCTGATGAAGTAGATATTAGTATGTCTATGAAAACATCTATTTGCAAAAAGAATGCTAACTCAAATACCTCCAAGGTAGATGGTCCAGGAACATGTATGGCGATACTATTATATCTTTGAATGCTTCTCTTTTTGCAACATAGGCCCTATACCTGCAGCTTCTCTCCCAAGTTCTCCAGCGTTTCCACAATGGTTTATGAAGGCCGTCCTTCTGTGGCACAATATGGATAACAAGACCAGGTAAAAACAATTCTGGGATATTCAATGATGACTTATGTTCAGAAGATGGAACAGCCTCCATAAATTCGGCTAAAGGATCACCAAATGGACTTGAATCAGAAGTAGAACAATTAAAAGGACTGTTGAAACGATTTGATGAATTAGTTGAACCGGTTTTATCATCAGAGCTAAAATCTGTGTCTATGTCATGCAAAAAAGAGGATCCTGGTTCGTGCTTTACCAATCCTGCAGAAATAGTTAGCATTTTTGCATGAAAAAGTGAGATAGCTACAAATAGGAGAAACTGCAGACAAATACAGTTAACTAAACACAACATGATTAAATGAGACATGTATTAACACGGAATATTCAAAAAGAAAAAAGTCCCTTAGTACCATTTTCAAGCTGGCTATGGTTGATTTCGTTCGTACAACTTGACATTGCTGTCAAAGAATTCACTGACGATTCTCCATCGTTCATGCTTTTCTGACAGACACTCAGTGAAGTAAAGTGATGAGCAAGTTTAAAAATTGTTGTAATATCAACAGTGCCATCTTCTGATAGTGCCCTAAGTGCAGCTGCTTGAAGTCTCATAATTGATGCTACTGAAAGGCGCGCTGAAAATTCATCATTGTTTACAATGCTGAAAAGATGTCAATAAAGGTGGAAGTTAATTTTATAGCATATGAGCAGCAACACTCAGTTGTCGCAGAGATAATAACACATTGGCAATACCTGGTAATGAATTCTGAACAAGCATCTGCTACCACCAGACCCACACATGGGAGAGCACCATATGTGTAGACGTGTATATCCGGATATTGTTTGCGCAGCTGCTCAGCAAAATATAGTAATTTGATTTGTAAATAGGCTAGATGTACTAACTGCAGAAATTAATATAATTAAACAAAGAACTTATAGGTAATACATTGAGGTACGCAAGCACCTTGGGAGATCAAAGTGACCATTAGGAAAATTAGAAGAACAGAGATGAACTTCACATATCTTGACATAACTAGGGTTTGAAACCAGAGAACAAACAACAACAACAAACCCAGTGTACTCCTACAAAGTGGGGGGTAGGGAGTAGAGGGGGTTTAGTGTTTATGCAGACCTTACCCCTGCCTTTGAAGGTAGAGAGGCTATTTCCGATAGTCCCCTGGGTCAAGGGAAGATGACAATGAAGCAGAAACAACAACACTAACAACACCAACATAAGATTTTGAATCCAGAGAGCATAACAATAAAATTCTTTTTTGCTTGAACAAATCTGGAACTGTTAACACAAAAAAGAGTTCAAATTACTATATTTAGTTAAAACACTTTACCAAAGTTAGAAAGTGACTTTAACAAAGTAGATCGGCTAGATAAACAAAGCAGTGAATTTGATTGGACCATACTCATCTATTATTCTGAATCCAGATGCTTAATGAAGCAAAAATAAAACAGACACAAAACCAATACAATTATCGACAGTATATTTTTTTCTTTTGTTCTTTGGATACCAAAAGGGGAAGGGGTTGGGGGAAGAAAACGGCAATATATGTCCTATACAAAGAGCACTCAAACATGATGGAAGAAAAGTTCCAAGAACGCATTTCATTAGCTGACAATTGCATACCTTCATTCCTAGTAATGCAGCAATAGCTCCTCCAAGGGAATGCCCCACTATTCGCACACCATATCCCTCACACTCACATCCTGCTCCCAGCAATGACGAGAGAAATCCACCTGATATAGACGAAGCGCACATATATTCACAAATTATCATAGCAGATGTGGGGGATTGATTCAAAGCGGAAATAAAGGAGCAATTCGCTGCATGATGAACGTGTTTGAGTTTATCTCATAACAAAATATATCAATAGCTACATGTGGGCCTCATCAGAGGCAGATAGTTATCAGCTACTAAGCATCTTCTTGAACTAATCAGCATATGAATCAAGAAAAATAAACTGATAATAGGTGAAACAACTCAACCACAGCTTCCTTGTACGAAGCAAAATAGAGAAATTTATGACACACTGCCTAGCAGAACCAATTAATAGGAATGAGCATAAGAGGCACCGACATGGGTACTGTAGGGTGCCTGTCAATCAGAATACAAATCCGGTACACTGTGTGGGCCATCCGTAATAGCACCTTGAGCTCTATAAATAAAACTAGATTTGTGGCAAATGGTATAACACTTCATAGGTGAAAAACATCAAGAAGAATGAGCAAGAACTGATGCAGAGAACAGAAAATAGAAGTTATTTCTGACAGCGTAAGAAGATATTTGTTACCTTTAAAGCTGGAATTATAGCGAAAGAAAAGTTAAAACCAAATTTGCATCAACCCTTTCAAAATGAATCTTTTATGTTAAAATACCGAAGCAAGTTGAAACAGGATCACCAACATCATTATAGGTCGGTATTTAGAGAGATAATAGAGGGTACACTTTCAGGCATTAAATTTACTTTTACTTGGAAGAAGAGAATAGAGCCAAATTTATTATGTCAGTATTATGTTTGAAATTCTGAAAGAAATAATATAGGGGATAAAAAAACACCATATTAAGCAGGAATAAAATAAAATTGCCAAGATCCTCGGCGATTTGTTCAAAGTTGGGTTTGAGAATAACTATTAACTGTGTTTGGATTGAAAAATAACTACTTAACATATTATACATGGCCTAGAACTCCTAATATTGTATATTAAGAGTCATTTACTACAGGGCAGATTCTCTTCTCCGTCTTGTTGTTCTATACAGTCTAACCTAAGAAAGATTCACCTTCTTGGGCTTAAGTGACTGATTAGAAGTGTTTAAACATGGTCCCGTCGTGTTTAAACATTCAACCAGTCACTGCAATGTTGCAGTCTGACCCATTATGAGCCATTCCTCTATCTTGCTGGAGAAAAACGAATGTGATTGCTTATTAATCCATTACAGCATTTTTTTTTCAGCCCAATGGTCTTGGCCAAAGGAGGACCCAACTTAAACGTTCTTTCATGTTTTCCAATCCTCTTTGTACAGTAAATCTCTGCAAAACTCAGAGATAGTCGTTACTGGTAGCCATCTTCTCTGGAAGGACCCTCGTCCTTACCAGTCGTCTTCTATGGGAACTCGTTGACCAACTCGTATCCAACACCTCACTCACATCCATCTCTGCATTGGCATCAGTAGGCATCCTGGTGATTTTGGTGCTCAAATCAAGTAAATCCAAGTTCTACAGCAAATGTATCCACCTTCAGTTAGCATACAACAAAAAATTACATACCTTTACTTGATAAATTAACTCTTGACCTATGTTACATAAACTCATCTATGAATACGAATTCAATACGGGTGTAGGCATATATCAAGTATGGGACAGTGCAACTTGTTTTCTATTTCTTAGTGCATTTAGAATCTGCATACAGTATCTACATCCATGCACATTTGACACTGGGTACATCAAGACAGATGAAATAATGCTGTAATTAGCTCATGACGGGTTACTCGTGTTAATTTCCACATCAAAGAAACCATTGCATAAATTCCCAACTCGCCAAAACAAGTTCAGACGCAATAAGTGAATGGGTCCAACTAAGCTTATCACCATAAAACACTTCTTTTGCAAGCCTAAACAGCCACTTTTAGAAGACCCACATGTTGTAGGATCATGAATAAATCGCTCATCCACCTCTGCCCATTCCATAGCACTCTGTTAGTTTTAGCTTCCAATGGGAATCAAAACAAAGACACCTTCAAGCCTGTTATCAGGTTCCACACGCTAGAAAGCCCAGTCTACAATAGCTTCTGGAACCCTGTTTGACAGTCAAATCTCCCAATCAGGCATGACAGGAAATTTCCAGTGTAGAACTTCACTGATGGATAATCTTCACAGTGAAATACCGTTTTGACAGTCTTCAAGGAGCAATGATGGACGATGGTCAGCCACCACCACCCTATACAATTTCATTCTCCCTCGTGTTCATCAGTTCAGGACTTTAAAGGAATACCCATGTGCACAAGAACTTCTAGTTCTTGGTAAATTTGTTGGAGCATGATGACAACCTTCTATAACGTCCTTGGCTACATATACTCCTTATCAAACATATCAACCTGTAATTCTAGCACTAATAACTACTCTCAGTATACTAGATGCTACGAATCATTTCAGGTCATAAACAAATACCAGCATTTAGCCAGTTCTTTCACCAAAACACAGCAAGAGATTGCTTGTAAGTTGTACAAGTGAAACAACAGTACAAAATTGAATGTTTCAAAATTGTTCCAGAGAAAAACAGGGAAAATAAATAGTACAGAAAACAATGCACTATACCATCTTCAGAATTTCCATCTACTTGCATGTAAAGATCACGTGCGGCCTCAACTACTCCTGAGTGTGCATAGTGTGGTTTGGATGAAACCACCCTTTGACGAATGCACGAGTCAAAATGATTGCCACTGAAAAAGAATGGTGTATTAGAAGAGGGGAAAAAAAACAGGAGAATCATCAAATAGTGCTGACTGCGTAGATCCTATGCAGAAACCAAGTACGGCAAATTTAGGCAGCAATGGAAGCAAAAAGAAAATCACATCACATTACTACAGCGAATGTTCAATCTCTTCCTGGTTCCTCAGTGTAACAAACAGTAATTCTATTATGTGCTTATAGACCAGTTTTCCTTCATTTTCTATGGTTTTAGCTTTAGGTTGAATAGTATGAAGTGTTACTATTGTGAATCTCATTTGGATTTTATATAACATTGATTCTATAGAGAAAATGGACAATGGACCCAACTCAACTCCAAAAGTTAGCTCAAGAGCAATACCTAAGACTATATAAGGAAACTACATCCTATACACTTAACTGACTTGGGATTCTAACACCTCCCCCTTCCCCGTACTATGAAAGAGTCTAAACATCCAACACAAGATCTTTAGGCAATGGGTGGACCTATCCAAACCTTTTTAAAACTATTTGGAAATTTTTACAGAATTTACGAACAACAATATACTCAATGCTCTCCGGCACGCGTAACTCTATTTTGACGTTGACACGTGAATTTTAGTGCGGGCTTACAGGAACGAACTCTAGCTTACGTAAAACACATTGATAGAAATGCAAAACAGATAGAAAACAATATAATGGTAAAAGGAAGGCAGTCAAAGGATGTCAGAAAGTGATGCCAGAAGCGGATTTGCGTGCATGTAAATGTGCATGTGCAACAAGAAAGGACCAAAATGAGAGAGAGAGAGAGAAAGGGAGGAAGGGGGAGAGAGATTACTGTAGTAGGCTATCTAATTCTCCTTCAGTAAGGCAGCATTCCCTGCCTAAACTATCAGTTATGAGGTCTTCAGGGGTCTCAGTTCCCCTCACAGCAATTACAACAGATTTCACATTATGCAAAACCACAATAAAGTATGCTGCTTTACACTTTCCCTGAAAAAGAGATATAGAAGATATTATTTTTCTGAAATGAAAGACAATATTTCTTTTCTGGATAAGAAAAATGACAAGACAATATCTAAGGAACAATAATATACATAACCTATTTCTGCCAAAAAAAAAAATCCAAAATAAGACATGTTTTAGTACTCATGGTTTCACTTGATTCACAATATTTAAAAAAAAAGGCATGGCAAACTTTTGAGGGATGTAGAGGAATTGTTGCCTGGAAATCACTACTATGTTAATCGAAGCCTTTATATCGTCCATTCCTCTACTAAACTTCTTACTGCTCAGACAGATTCCATTCCCATCTCAGCAGCAAAAAGGGATTAGAAATTTTCACTTGTGAAGTATTAAGTTTTATTAAATAAATGGGAGAGGAAATTCCCGCATACTAGAGAAACATAAAAGTTAAAGAAACGTCATAAAAGGAACATTTTTTTGTAAGAGAAATGTCATACAAAAACATGATTCTCGTAACATGTCATCGCTGGAAAAAAATATTAAATGTTTATACTAATATTCTGCAAAAATAAAGCAATATATAGTAAACACCGCTTCCTAGAAGATAGTGCTTCTTGGTCCGCTGGTCAAGCTTGTATTTGGGCTTGTAAAGGTCGTTGGTTCGAATCTGTACCTAGACATATTTTTTGAAGATCTTTGAGGAGCTTTTTTGTTAAAAATTTGAGGCTACAGAGTCTTTCAACTTGAGGTAAAATAAGATTAAATAATACTTTTTTTATTTATGTAAATACGACACCGCTTATAAAAAGTTTTGCGTACACCCCTGTCTAGTACTAATGGAATGTCACAGATGATCCCTGGGTCTTCCCGTTCCGTCATCTGGAAGAATGAACATAAAATAAGAAGGTTTACTAATTTATACAAAAGACTCTTCCACTCCTTCAAACTCCCACAAGGAATTTTTTTTGGTATCTTTCTTTTCAGTAACAGAAAGTGTGCACATGAGAGACATGTAATATGTTGGTATGTTAAACAAGGTGCTCTTGATTAGGACCCTCATATCCCCTAAATATCTTTTCTTCCATCATGTTAACCTTTTCTCCACTTCTCATAACAGATTCCATAGAGCAAACTTCGTGCGACGCTTCTAACAGCAGGCCTAGGTAAGTCGTAGGAAGTGTTCCTAACACTTATGTTATAGTTCAATGTCGCCGATCTCCTCAAACGGGATAATCTAACACCCCTGCCTTATCTTCTTTCCCCGCATTTTACGATGAGATGGGCTTGCTAAAGACAAAAACAATGTTTTTTTATCTTGAAGTCTTGAGCTTCTCCTGTCTAAGCATACACTTCAGTGAAGTAGCATTGCCCCTCAACTTGCATTGCCTCACACACAAGCGGCCGCTTTTCAAAATTAGGCTTAAAGAAATTCAAATTTATGAAATTACAGGCCTTAAATGACAAACTGACAGTTCAGACCTCACATGGTTTATAAATAACTTAGAATCAAAAATATAGTTCACATGGTAAGGCGATCACGTCGTTTCAATATGACCTTAGAAACATACAACCAAATAGATAAGCGGACACAATATCCTGATAAACTGGTTCTTATCAAAAACTGGTGGTGATATTACAAAGGTAACTTGTACAATCAGTAAATAATTACACTAAAGTCTATTAGCACCAAAGCTGGATGGTTAGGTGATCACTGATCAGAGCTTAGGAATGTCATTGCAAAATATCAGCAGCTTAAAATAGCCTATAGATCTAAAGCTAGACTTACTTGATTAACACGCCCTTTTCTGAGCATATGTGCTGACAAATGAACATGTTTCAAGAAGGCTGCTGCATGACCTCGCCACCAGTTGTCACCTTCGAGTAAAGGTCGCCTACATCAAAAGAATTTTATTTCAAAAAAGAAAAGAAGAATCAAGTAACCATGATAACAATCAAACAACAATTTGAAAATAACTTAGTGTCACAAAAATAAGGGTTCGTGATTTGTCCAATGAAGCAGATTTAATGAAAATAATCCTTTGCAGGAACCTTCATTTGATTGTGCTGGATCTTAAATTATCAGATCTCTGAATATAAATCAAGAAAGCTAGAAGAATCTAGGTAATTCCATTCATCCTTTTATGATAAAATCAGTTGCTGGCACCAGTACTAGACTAGACACACATTTGAAGTCCCCTGAGTGGAGCAAGCAGTTGTTATCATGCACCACGGATCGTACCGTGTATGTATGTCTGATACTCCAACTTGCTTTTAGGATACTTAAGAGTGACGAGCATCTTGATCTTTTAGATTTAAAAAGTCTAAGCAGAGAGTTCCTTTAAGCCAAAGCTCTTCGAGGTGATCTGAATAAGCTTACTTCTTTTACTAGCCACAGTTGGAGCTTGTATATGGTCTATTTAAGGGAATCATCATTTCTTTGTTTCACCAGATAGTGAGGATGAAAAAGCATAAACTACCTCGTTCATGCTCCCTCTATCCACATAGTACAGAGCTCGAGTCCCTCCCATAAAACATTAAACTCACATTTTCTGGCAACTTGTACGAAATTCCCGATCCTTTTTGCTCATAAATTTAGAGCATCTTCTATGTCATATTCCAGATCTTACATCCTGTCAATTCCTAGAGGAGTCCCTTCATGGTATTTTTCCCCATGTATAATCCATCCATATCCAAGCTTATGACTTGCGGCCAAATGAACTTCTATGTTTTTCCACTGAAACCCTTTCTTTTCAACTTTACAAAGCAAATGCTGCTTCATGCTTTAACAATCCGAAGTTGCTGATCTACAACCAAGATATACCAGTAGGTGTCTTACCTGTTCCATAGCCAGGGAGCAAGAATGCCTTGCCTATAGAGCCATGAACATGAAAAAAGTACAGGATTTCTTCCTATATCAAGTAATAGACCCTGCAATTGACCATTCCACGTCAAAATAAGGAGAACGAAAATCAAGTCAATTGAAATGCCTTGTTGTCATACCGTGTAGGCTGCTTCAGCAAACGGATGAAAGAAAGCAGCCTCGCGCATCCTTTCCATGGGTACGATCATTGACTCTTCATACAATTTAGAGAATGAACGAGGATTCTGCAATAAAGCTAGTCCTGAATATCAAGAAGAAATCATTTTCTTTTACCTTACTGATAGAAAGAGATAATCTTGTTTCCAAAGTGAATAAGTACGAATCGAGCAAGTAGAAAACAAATCCAATACTTAAAAGCACTTCTAGCATTCATCACTACCATTTTTACTGTAATGTTGGAGGAGAAATTACCGAAGAAAAGGATTGCAAAACAATACACAAAACCTTGATCATGTCAAATGAACAAGAATTCTCCTCTTAGCTCCCTCTGATTAAAATCTCTAATTTTTTCAAATGACCTTTTTATTCTTTTCCATTTGATTTTCAACAAGAAACTTTGTGACTTCTTGTATAACTATTTCTTAATTAATACCCCTTTTGAAACATTCGCCCAAACATCTGAATTGCAACATTCTGAAAGAACTGCAGCACCCAAACATCCTAAAGGACCTAAACTAGTTGTGGATAAATGTACATAATCCTATGTCCCTTTTCCCTTTTTTGGATGAGTGAAGGTTTGAGAGCGAGGTAGAGCCCATGATTATTTCATTTCTGTTTCCCTATCATCCCTACTGTCAGATATGCTTGCACAAGAATGCACGTAACAAACTAAAGAGGTATCCTCATGAGTTTGGAAATTGGGGGTACGCTTCTCCAGATATATGTTCAACCAGCATGATTTTGGAAGAGATGTTAGAATACATAATACAATAATACAACAGCTTTGTTTTTTTAGAACCTTTCATGTACCACAATCAAGTATAAAAGGCATCCAAAAGGATTTTTTAAGGTCTTGCACCACTCTACATATTCTTCAACACTTTCTATAGAATGGTGAACTGTATACTTTACATGTACCAAATAAAGAATACGTAAAAGTAAAACACAGACCCCTACAACGGCACTAACCTGCTAAGAGCTCCAAATGACCTGTCCCAGATGCACGGTAAGTCACAAGATCACCAAGTAACTGTGCCACAGAACAAACTTCATCTTCCTCTAGCACAGTCCTATGAAGGAAACAGAATGACAAAGAAAGCGGATTAAACAATCTCAATGACAATTCAAATCCTGTGGTCAACATATGCAGAGAGGCCTACAAGTATTTGACCCGTCCCAGACAGCACAAAGCTTCACGAATGCCATGATCAAATACCTCCCTATAATGTGCCTTCCATGCATTATCTTCTGTTGCATAGAAAGACCTCCATCTCAAGACCTCGGCTCCAGCAAAACATTGTACTGGAGCCACATAAGAAATAATAACCATAAAAAGAATAAGTATGTTGCGTTGCCACCATGAACCATTTGAGAGAAGCCCTGCAAGATACTTTCACAAGTATTTTCAGTTTGATGACTGAAATAAAAAGATGTTGGTTAATTGTGTTATTTACAAACATAGTAGTCGGGTTTAACTAAGCAGGCAATAAAAGAGAATGAAAAAGCGAAGATAAGGTAAAATATTGAAATTAGATCAAAATTTTCAAGAAGGCACGCATACAATTCCATATCACCTCTCAAACAGTTGCTTGATGTTGTATCACGATGCAAAAGATTTGTGACACTGAACAAAAGAAAAACAGCCCCAAGAAGCTGCACCACTGTAATTACTGAGGCAATTCGGGTCCACAATAACAGTCTCCTATATTTCCTCTGTCATCAGGACGTAAAACCCAAAAATATGTTACAAACAAGAAATGTCTTTCAGAGGGCTCTAATGATTTTACACGTAGAGAATACTTGGTAAAGGAGAATAATTTTATCACATGCCCATCACAGCAGATGAATACGTCTTGCCAAAATAAAGTAATAATATACTAAAGTAGCAGGCTGGCATTAAAATCTGTTTAAATCATGAATGTAAACAATAAACAAAAGTTGCATATGTCTGGCTAGATGTTGCAATTATAATCTTTATATTAGGAAAAAATCCCATGCTCAAATATCTTGATGCCCTCCGATGACAGTGCCATTTCTTTCAACCATAAGATACAGTCCAAATCAACAAACATAAAATAAATACACATGTGAATGCTAAAAACCAGAGAAGAGAAAGAGCAGCAGATCTGTCTAAAAGGCTAATTATGACGTCTGGATCTGGAAAATAAATACTAGGCATGTCTAATGCAGCTGTGTGTGCAAATAAAATTGGGATTATTCAGGTAAAATTTTAAGCAGACCCTACCTTGCGTAAGAGAAAAAATATAAAGGTGTATAGAAGGCGATACATCCAATTGTATTAAGACGCTTACATGGAACAGATTCAAGGATCAACTAGCTACTCTAAAATACTCTTGTATAATAGGAAACCAACCGTTTAAATCCCCCTATTTCAAAAGGGAACAACAAGGAACTACCATACAAAGGAATAGACAAGCAACAACCATGTAGAAACCTTTTAATTCGAATTCTATTCTCTCTTTTCTTGGTTTAGTTTTAGCCATTATTATCATATCTAATAAAATATGAGTTATGATACAATTCAATACAAGCTGTAATATGCATTTTATGATCAAACCATACACCATGCGACTGACATTCTGAATACTCGTGGATTCACATCTGTATTGGGTCTTGGTGGTGGTGATGTTGATACTGCTGTTGGAGATGGATAATTAATTTATTCCAATCGTTACTGATTATATGCTTTATCATATACAAGTAAGGTACTTTTTACAGTAGAAGCACCAGGAATAATGTGCTAAATATCTACATCAAAGTAAAAGACTATAACTCCTTTACATATGCAAAGAGTCTATGAAGTTCAGAAAAGTGTCAAAATTCATTCACAAGTTTCAGCGAACACCAAAAATTATTAGCCTGTGAACATCTAGACTCAAACAAATTGATGCCTCTGATCCTCCTTCGAAAAACTTGCAATTCCTTTCTTTCTATGTTACCCAAATGACGCACCTAGGCACCATCATCCATTATGGACTTGAGGTGTCACCTCATATGCCCTTGCCAACTGGTTACAGCAGCCTTTTAAGGTGTATGGCAATACTAAAGGAAAGCCACCAGCTTTACATTCTTGTATCCCAGCCAAGATCAAATATTGACTGAATTTTGTGGAAGTAAACTGCTTTCAATCCAATGACCACCTTTCTTCTCTCATGTAAAGCTTTGTGATAATCTTGTAACATCACCTAAGAAACGAGTAGGTACAAGCCTCTTAACTCTACAATCCCTTTCTTCTTTGGATCAAAGCTATGAAAAAATACATTCAAATTTCTTTCAAAGTCTCGTTCCACATGAAAAATTGCTGAACGTTGATGTAAACCTCTTCATCAAACAAACTTCTTAAAGACAACAACTACGCTTGAGTCTCAAACAAGTTGGGATCGGCCATATGAATCCTCAATTTTCCATTTAAATTCAACTCATGAAATCATTATATTAAATAAAAACAAAACTTTTAACTACTTCAACATTTTCTTCCACTGTCACTAATATAATCCCTAAGCCAACTTTTTCCCATACCTAAAATGTCAAATTAATACTTCAATTTCCAATGTTCTCAAACACCGCCACATAAAATGAAACAAATACCATAATATTACTAAAAAAAATAGCATTTTTCACCATTGCACATAATCAAAACTACTATAAAAAATAAAAAAGGTTAAATTTTTTACCCGTCTTTGGTGTCGAATAGCAGCTTGAGAATCAGGCAAATCGGACTGAGAAGTTAAAATACAAGAAGCAGTATCTTGTTGAGCAATACCAGTTCCAATCATAGCACCAATTCTTACAAAACTAGCCATCATTATAACAAAAACTGGCGCAATATCCTTTTCTCCACACGAATAACGCGTAATAATTACAATAATAGCTCCCATTATTATTATAAGCGCATTGGAGAGGCCCAATATTAAAGCTGATCTCCTTAATTTCCTAAATTCCGGTGCCTGTAATAAAGGCACCACCATTTTGCGGAATGATTTGATTTTTGAGAATTTCAAAAAGCTTAAACCTAAGCCTTTTGATCTGTTCCGCAATTTTGTTGGATTGGGATACAGAGGGAGAAGAGGAGACATTCAAATGTGAAATTAATTTGACATTTTTAGAAATTCTGAAGATTTTTCTGGTCGTTTTTTCTCATTTTTTTTCGCCTCTGGATTCTGGAGAGGCGTCGTTTAGGAGACGACGTGACCTCTTTTATTTTTTTTATTTTTATTTCTCGGATAGTAAGGCCCCGTTTGGCCATACATTTTGGCAAGTTTTTTTCAAAAATTTTGAAAACATTGTTTGTCCATAGATTAGTGATCTGTTTTTGAGAAATTTCTGAAAATATTTTTCAAATTTTCAAAATCTAGTTTATGGTAGATTTTTGGTGAAAATCAAGTTCCTACTCACAAAACTTCAAATTTTTTTCAAATAAAATGCATGTCCAAACATAATTTCAACTTCCAAAAATTATTTTTTCAAGTTTCAACTCAATCTATGTCCAAACGCTAGTTAAGTCGCCTGTGCTAATAGGGACCTATCATTTTTCTTTTTCATTTTTAGCATTATAATCTCTATGAGACTATTTTGTAACTAAAGTTGGAAATAAGTGTATCTCAGGATTAATTATTTTAAAATTATTATTCATCCTACTATAGGAATAAAAATTAACACTATAATTTTAGGATAATTAATTCCGAGATTAGTTTTATTGTAATTTTATTCTAATCAAACGTGGAATAAACTCATTTCAAACTTAATTCCGAAATTAATTATCATTTATCCTTCGTACCAAATGAACCCTAAAAAGCAACTTCTTAAGGTTTTATAACTATGGATTTAGTTATTTCATGATATATTACATTCATAAACTTGCACTTAAACTAGTCATATAATTCTTGTCTTTCTCACATATTTTTTTTATAGTCTTAACAATTTGAAAAATTACCTTAGCATAGAATATATTGCTAGTAACCTTCAAATATTATACAGGTGATGTGAACATTAGCTTAATAATATTCTATAATTAAATTTCTGAAATATTTGAATAGGATTTTCTTCAACTAGAAAAGTGGAAAAAATGTAAATTTGCCTTTAATTGACCAGGAAGGCGCCGTCATCTACCCAGTTTGTGCATACCTTAACTATTCGGCCGAGTACCTTCTACTTTCCACCCGTACAAATTTCCAGGTAACTTTGTCCACAAAGAAGAATATATATGTTTTAAAAAAAAAACAAATAATGCAGATGGAAAATGATTTTATTACAGCGGCAGAGGGTAAAAACTCCTAGTTACATCATCCATCTGTTATTTTTGCCTTTAGTCCAAAGCTCAGAGAAACATCCACAAAAGGATTTCGAACTAGAAAACATGTTATGAATCTACAATACGAATGAAAATTACTTCCACCAACTACAAATACACAGAAATTTTGATACAACAGTATCTTCAGCTACTACATGCCTCAAAATACTTCTTCCCCTCATCAATCCTCCTTTAATAATGGATGGCTGCTGGATTCCATAAGCATCTCATTCTCCTTCGCTCAAGATTGGTACGATGAGTGGTTTCAACTGTGCAAGATACACAATCGCCCACCTATCCATAAGAACAATAAAAGTGTTAGAAACAGTTAACATTCCATCGATATGTCACTCATGTTGGTTGAGTGTCATTACTTAAACCTCTCACTTGTTATATCCGAACGCTAGCATGCTAAAAGAACTTATGGTAATTCAAGCAGAGCAGTAATCCAACTACTACTTTTTAAAGTCGCAAGTGAAAATGACATTATTTCAAGGCTAAGAAAGCATGACAACACCAAACAATAAGTAGTACTTTCTCCAATGCTGTAGGGCAACCAGAACTAGCGACATCTTCTAAACGTGACTATCAGTCACAATACAGCCTTCCAGCAGGAGGAGAATTTCAGTGGCTTGTGCAGAAAACTGACCAAATTACACGGGGCTTTCTATTTAATTCTTTTTTACGCGATGCTTCTTTAACAGAAGAAAAGAGGTAATATTCTGGCCATTATCCACTGCTAGAGTTCCATAAAGCAATCAATCTCAAACAAGCTCACAACTAGCCCATATCCACTCATTAAAAAGGTTAACATGGCGCAATGCCATTTGCAATCATCAGATGATGGTAAATACCTATAAATGTCCTTACTTTCTCTGATTTCTCAGAAAACAAGCATTTCAAGGGGCTGTGATGAGTATAGAGTTCAACGTGATATCAAAGCAAGCATAGGTCCTCAGTTCAAATTCATAGCCACCCATTATCAAAAGAAACTTTCACGTACACCAAAAAGTATCAAGCGTGCATGTGAGAAGATGTGTTGAAGACATAATTAAACAAATAAAAGCGTGTTCTCTCAAAAGTTTAAACTTTTAGATGAGATGGTCACAACAGTCATCTATCCTAGAATCACGATTATTGCGCACACGTTCAATTACATAACCAGCCAACTCCTCAAATGACCATATGTTCTTCTTTGTAGCATCAATATCCCAATATCAAAAACTAGAAAAATCAAACAACCCACTGTCTAATTTATCAAGCGATATATAAAACAAGTAATCAACCAAAATATGTACGTATCAGTGGAAAGGTAGTCTACATAATACATATAATGAATGGGTGAATGGAAATACAACCCCTTTAAACATCAAAACTTTTGAACAGTGCAATGCGGTGTAGAAAATTCAGAATAGGATGTTTACCGTGAAAATGGTAATAACAATTAAATTTGTTGATGGGACTCTAAAAATACGTGATCTATTTTTATGCTAGTTGTTAGAACAGTTGATACTAGATGTGTGAAGCTTAACGACGAAATACGAACTAAAACAGGATTATAATCAAACCGAGGGGCTAGCTATCCGGGCCTCGGGCTAGCTGATGAAAGGCCCCGAGGTCGACGCCTGGGCTCGAGCTCGAGCATCGGGGATAACCGGGAAGGGGCTAACAGTCAGGATATAATTGGAAGAGGCTCTTTATGGCCAATATCAAGCAATAAATGAAGAACAAGTATGAAAGCAATAAATAAAAGATGTAGTCTCGAGCGAGTAAGTTAGAAAGAAAAGAGAGATGTTATTGATCTTGTGTAGAGTAGTTGGAGCAATAGCAGCCCCTTACAAAGTGGTGAGGATCCCCTTTATATAGAAGGGGAATCCCGCCATTGTACAAAATACATTAATTGTAAAAGCATGAAGATGGGACGGCTAGAAGTGACGCCTTTATACAGGCTCCGGGTAGGTCGGCTTTGTCAGACTTAGCTGTGTACCTTGGGAATTCCCCATTTTACTCTAGCCTCGATCTACGTCCTCTTTAAGTCGGACCTCGGCGAGCTCCGAGGGAGGGAACTCGGTCACAGCTTCGCGTCCTCGTGGTCTTGAGGTATCCTTCTGAAGTGACTCGATAGCAAGAATTTAGACCTTCTGATTTTGCCGCATACAGATAGTCTCCGCGTTTCTCAAAACGAAGCGATGGGAAACGATTATGATACCCGACTCCTCGGGCTTACCGTGACGACGTCATACCGATGATGCAATTTATGGCGTGAATTTTCACGATAAGCAGGACATTCCATGGACTTGTCTTTTCGACGCCATTCAATGCGTTGTCGATTCTCGTCCTTCAAAGTGGCAGTACTGTCGTCGATTCAGTTCTTCAAGGATGCAGTAATTGCGCCCGCCGGTCAGTCTTCCAAAGGCATTGATGACCGTGTTATTTCCCCCTAAAAATGGGGGCATTCTGGCGTCATTTTTCTATCCAAGTGTCTTTCTTCATTCATTTATCCCTTCCTTCTCGCCATCTTTCTATTTTGTTAATCACCATGTTTGAAGTTCGCGGCCTTAAGGTTGTTTGGCTGCGTTCCCACTGTACGGGCGATGGCCTTTTGCCTGAGCTTCCCTTTGTCGAGCGAGATTATACCGTCTTGTCGTCGCTGCCGTTGTTGTTACGATTGTTACTGCTGTCCTTATTGGCTCGAGATGACGATAGACGGGGAATCGACTTTTCCCTTTTTTAGAAAGTTATTCGGACTATACACCGCTGCTCACTCTCCTACCCTGGCCTGGTGTGGCACTTCATCCCTTGGGTTTTTTCTTTCCCGAGGGATAAAATGGCACAACCGGCCATTGAGGCTGGGGCCCGCCGAATCTTCAATCTTTGGCTTCGGCGGGCTATGTCTCTTTTCTCTGCCTCTTCTGCATTCCCCCCTTTTTCCTCTTCTTCATCTTCTCCCTCAGCAAGGACTCTCCGCGGGATTGAGCTGGAAACCTAGAGGAGATGATGATCGAAGGAGTTGCCTTCGAGGGTGCGAGCTCGAGGAGGCGGCGCTCGGGGATGATGATACCAAAGATGAACCTTTGATGGACTAGGTTCTTAGGCTTTCACTATGGGTGTATACCCCTTTGTTTCTGTGTAAGGACCCCTTGCAGGCTTTTGTAATTACATGTAAGGACCCCTCGAGGGCCATTGTAAGCCAATATTTATGAAATAAAAAGGACATCTTCTTCGTTTCTGCTTTTGATATCTGCCATATTCTTGTATATTCTTGTGCATTTGCGGGGATTTTGAATGTATGTCTCTGTTGACGATCGTCAATATCCAACTCGGGCGCGAGCATTCTTTCTGGTCTCTGGTTGATGGAAATGGCTCCTTTCCGAGCTCATCATTGTTTCCCGGATCAAGCCTGAAGCAGTCCGATAAACCCAGGTTATCGGGACCCTCGAGCCTCGTGGAGATAGAGCACCGAACCTTGAAACTTTGAGAGCGGCCTCTGAGTAGGCAGGTCTCTGAGGAGGGGTTACTCATATTTAGGCGACTTCCTGACGCCGAGCCCCTATAGACGGAGCTCAAAGTGCTTGTTTTTCTCCTTGAGAGGAAACTTCGAGGTCGGGTACCACCTCAGAACCCGTACCGAAGCCGTCAGCCTCCCGAGGCCTAACCTGGGTAGGCGAATCGTTGTTCTTTCCCCACATCTATATGTGGTTGCTCCCGCTTCTTGGAAGATCCCATTATTTCAGATAGTTATCCTTCCGTTTTGGCATCGAGTCCTTCGTTGCCTTAAGCGCCAAAGTGTTCGTGTAGGTTCCCGCTTCAATTTGCTAGTTCCACCATAACCATGATTGCCAACTTCAGGGTCTGACCGGCAGAGAGGGGAGAGTTCCACTCCCAGTGCTCAGGATCCACGGAAGTTTACTCTGAAGACTATGTCTTCGATAAGAGAGAAGCATCTGGAGATAGTGAGGAGAGACTGCGGATGGGGCGAGGGGGCAGCGTTGCAGGCGCTTCCCCCGGATGAGGGTATCACGGACCTCGCCGATGGATTCCTGAACGTGTACTTGTACCCTTTCGCGCTAGGCCCCCTTAATAGGGTCGTGCTCGATTTCTGTTTAAAGTACCGGGTTACTTTGGCGCAGATACGTCCATCGTTTTGGCGAATAGTGTTGATGATGAGGTTCTTTGCAGAGAAAGCGGGGCTTGAATTCACGCTCAGTTATCTCGTCAGGCTATACCGGCCCTTTCATCATCGAGGTCTACTAACCTTGCGGTGCCATTCGTCCACGCCCTTTGTTATTGATGATGAGGAAGATAGAGATCGAGAGTGGATTAGTCGATTCGTCCGGGTTCGGACGACTGACGTTATCCCTGTGGAACTTATGCCATTCCCCGAGAAATGGAATTACACGCGTGAGTGGAGCGTCTCGTGCTTTCACAGATTCGCTCATGGTGAAAGCTAGTTTAGTAATCGCGTTTCCTTCTTTTTTGCAGCAATTTCATGGGCGCCGGGCGAAGTTCCCGATCTGCCCGGCTGGGTCCGGAAGCTGGTGACCCAATCAACTTGTGACGAGCGCAGGTGGCGAACTGTGTCCCGAAGCAGATGGGAAGCAAAAACACTATGGTACGTGCATACACTGCTTTTACCTTATCCTTCGTGCATTTGGGAAGGCATTTTCCCCTTTTCATGCACTAATCTTGTTGTCGTAGGTATCGGAGGGTCTCCAAGGGCGAGGTTGTGTTCCTCCGGAGAAGGGGAGGAGTTGCCAGCTTCCGAGCTGAAGGACGGAGACAATAAACGGGATACGCCTTTCAGCAGGGCGAAACGGGGCCACGTCTTTGAGGAGGGGACATCGCCCGAGTCTGTTGTACCCGTAGTTTCCGACCTTAGAGAGGAAATTCCCCCGAGCGATCATGCTTCGACCGAGTTTGGTCCTTCCAGGGCCAAGGGGGCTGGATCAACAGAGGTGTGCTTGGCAATCGAGGAAGTCCGCCGACTTCACTTTGCAGTGAGTTTTTGGCACAGGCTTTCCGAGTCTCGCGTCTCCCGTTCCTTATCGAGCTTTTCTTCTGCAGGCCTTTGACAGGCTTAGGTCTGAGCTGCTCCGTCACAGAGCTAGGCTCCAGAAAGCTCTGGATGAGGGTAGGTCCCTTAGGCTCTTTTGCGAGGAGAAGGAAGTTGAGTCGACACACTGGCGATATGAGGCGTACCGGAGCTCGAATTACGAAAGCTATTTGATGGAGCAGGTAATTTCTCATGGTATGCGTTTCGCTTTTTAACCTTTTGGGTTAATCTTTTTGCCCAT